TTCACCCAGCAGAGAGTGCCCTGTCCAGGCCCTGGGCTGCCAGCTTTTCCAGGAGTGTGCAATCCATGCACAGGAAGACACCAAAGCTGGGGAACAGAGAGAGCACAACCTGCTGCACTGCCCAGTGGGAGCATTTCACCTCTCTCCATGCTGTCTCTGTTCCAGGTGAAATCTCCCCCGTGCTGAGGGAATCCCTGGTGGAAATCCTCCTCTGCAGCTCTGCACAAAGTCAGAATAAACAGGGACCATCAGGATGATGATATTTTGGCGACTTTATTTACCAAGGTCAGAATTTGCAATCAGTAATTGTTTGAACAAATATTTACAAGTCATGGAAAGCACAGACTGTTGTGGAACTGACCAGCAGAGCAGCACTGGGTGCTGCACCTCACCCTCAGCAATGAGATTGGACTCCTCACAGTGGAGATTTTCAAGTCAATCCAACCTAAGAACTCCATGATCGGTGATTAAAGAGTGAACTCGTGGTACTGTTTGATATTCCCATGATGACAAATCAGCTGCTCTTCCCCAAGCAGGAATTTAAGAGGATGGAAAAGGACTCCTGGTGTGTCTGGCAGCAGGACAGGTGTTTCCCTCGCTGGATACACAAAGAATTGGCCACAGGTTTTTAACACTTAACACTTGGTAGTTCTGCTTATGATACTCCATAGCACAAAGGAGAACAACACCCAGGGAGGATCAGCTACCACAGAACTCCCAAAGCAGTTGGAACTCAAACCCTCTCCCAGGGGCACAACACATCCCTGAGGGCAGAGAGGTCCAACTCTGCAGTGCCAGGCATGTCCCAGGCACATTCCAGGCTGCTCATTTGGCCTGAAATCCCACCAAAAAGAATCAGGAGGCACCACCACCTCTCTGGGATCATCTCCCACTGGTCAAGACTTCCCAACCTCACTTCTAATGTGCCACAAAGCTCTTTTTGCCAGCCAGGAACCACACTCCAGCCTGGCCCAAAGCAAACTCACCCTGACTCGTGTCCTGAACAATCAGAGACTTAGGAATTTCAGGAAAAAATATCCTTTCAGAGCCCACTGACAGGAGACTGTGGAATGCAGAATTCTCACGGCAAAAAGCTCTGCTGGCTACAAGTCCATGAATTCCCAAAGGAGTGAGATCAGGCACTGGCTGACCATGGGATAAGCTTTACACATCCAGGGAGGGAGCACAGCTTGGGATTGCACCCAGCTCCAAACCAGCACCACACACACAGAGCTCCAACACCTTGGGACAGCACAGGCCACGGTGCAATTCTCACTGACAGAACTGGGAGCACATTCAATCCCAGCTGTGGGAATGGAGTGTTCATACTCACGCCAGGAGCTCCACAGACACGTCAGCTGTGGCTCCCAGGGGTATGGAATCATGGAACAGCCGAGGTGGGATGAGACCTCTGCCCACTCTGATCAGGGGGGCACCTGCCCAGGACCATGGCCTGAGCACCAGGATCTCATCCTGCCCAGGACCATGTCCTCAGCAGGACCATGTCCTGCCCAAGGTCACATCCAGCCCAGGAGCACCATGTGGGCCCACCAGGATCTCATCCAGCCCAGGAGGACCATGTGGGCCCACCAGGATCTCATCCAGCCCAGGAGGACCATGTGGGCCCACCAGGATCTCATCCAGCCCAGGAGGACCATGTGGGCCCACCAGGATCTCATCCAGCCCAGGAGGACCATGTGGGCCGCCTAAGGTCCATCCAGCCCAGGAGCACCATGTGGGCCCACCAGGCCCACAGCCAGACAGCTCTAGGGATCTCCAAGAATGGAGATTCCTCACCCAAAAGAGTCCTGATCATGCCAAACATTGAATTTTCACCTGAAACAAAACCATACAAATGAGACTCCCTGACACAACCAGATCTCCTGTGCAGATGTTGTCAGTTCTGGGGAGTGAAAAGCCCTGATTATTTTTTTTCCCCAGTACTCTTTAGGATCCTTGTGTGTTTTTTTTTCAAGTTGCCTACAGACATACAAAATTAATTCAAATATCTCCTACACCAAAGAGGATCTCATTTGACTTTGTACTATCCATAAAAATATAGCCTTGAAAATCTGGTTCACAAAATATTTCATTTGGTTACTAAAATGAAATATATAAACTGTCAAAATACTTATAGAAACTCAATTTCAGGTTTTGTAAAGATCACAATTTAGCTACAAAATATACCAACCATCTCTCCCTGCTGCAATAGAGTATTTGCTTACAAAGACACTTGGCAAAATAGCTCCTACCTTACAAAATTAGGCTGGAAATCTTCATTTTTGCTCTACTTCCAGCAACAAACCAGAGATCAGAACCTCCTTAACCCTTTGGTATAGATCTTCCAGTTTTGACTTCAGCATTTCTCTTCTATTTGGTTTCATGTTCCAAAGCTCAGGAGAATCTCCAGCCAGGACAAGCACTGAGTGTTTCACTGTGGATGTGATCAGCACACGAGTGAATTTTCAGTGACTGATGTTTCTTGTGCTCAGCAACTAACAACAAACTCTTGTGAAATTAAACTTGCAGGAAGTTTAATTTCAGGAATTCTTCAGGAACATTTGTCCCCAGTCCTTGTTCCACCACACTGTGTTTTAATAACATTGAGGTGCTCAATTGTCTTCAAAAACCAACACAATTTCTGTGCCTCAGCCCTTCCCAGGCCTAGTCCTCTCTCTGCCTCTGCAGATCCTTCCCCAATGAACACAGCAAACATGGAAAAAAAAAAAACCCATCCCAACTTTTTCAAATACAAGAGAGAGTAAAAACATAATTTATACCTCAAGCAAAGCATCAGCTTTTTTTTTGCTCTTATCACCTGCACCTGTAAAAAACAACTTACAGGTTAACCCAAAAATATTTACAGACAAAGAACTGAAAGGAAAAGGATCGGAAAAGAGTAAGAAATCAAACATACACTGGTTATAAATGTTACTACTAATGCCAGTTATGGCAAGGATTCCTTTCCATCCACGTTTTCCTTGCACCCAGGTGTTGCCTCTGTCCCTGGAGGTGTTTGTAGGAGTTCTCAAGGAAACTCACCACCTGCCTCGTGCCCAGGACTGTCCTTCCCTGCAGCTGCACCCTTGGCTGGAGCAGTTTCCAGTTGTGCCAGCAGGAACTGTGTGGGGAGATTTTCTTATTTCCTCTTTGTCATCAACACATTGTAAATAAAACCTATACCAGAGTCTTGGAGCTGTGAAATCTTGATAGAAAAGTTTGGGGTTTTGACCTTTCAACTAGTTAAAAAAATTCAGTATAAAAAAAAAAAAAATCTCCTCTGAAATGTCACCAGTCCCAAAGGTTTTGACCTTCTCTCCTTACACGCTTTTATGACAGTAAAGATCTTTCAAAGTTTTTAGCTCTTCAATTAGAGTTTTGTTCTGATTTTCCAGCACTGCCACTCGGTTTTCCAGACACTTCACATACTCCTTCTTCTTCCTGCGGCATTCCCGAGCGGCTTCCCTGCAACACACAGGCACAACTGTCACCTCAGGGGGAAATGTTCCCTGAGTGGCACAGCCCTGACCAGCACCAGGGAGCTGGCACTGCCCTGAGCAACAAAACCAGCCCAGGAGTGCCCAAGGACAGGAGGAAATTCAGCAGCACTGGGAACACACAGCAGCAAAGTCTGCAGGGAAATCCCAGTTTGGTTCTGGGCACTCACTGAGAGGGACAGTGAGTGGCTGGAGGTGTCCAGAGCTGGGGAAGCAGCTGGAGCAGCTGAGGGAGCTGTGAGAGCTCAGCCTGGAGAAAAGGAGACTCAGAGGGGCCTTGTGCTCTCTACAACTCCCTGACAGGAGGTGCAGCCAGGTGGGATCAGGCTCTGCTCCCAGGGAACAACAGGACAATGGAACCAGCCTCAAGCTGCACCAGGAGAGGTTCAGATTGGACATCAGGAGGAATTTCTCCATGGAAAAGGCTGTCAGGCATTGGAAGGGGCTGAACAGGGAGGTGGTGGAGAAACCACTCCTGGAGGTGTCCAAGGAACAACTGGACATGGCACTCAGTGCTCTGGTCTAGGTGACAAGGTGGTGATGGGCCACAGGTTGGACTGGATGGTCCTGGAGGCCTTCTCCACCCTCTGGGATCTCAGCACATGACCAACCCAACCCAAGAGCACTCACATACCTGTTCTTCATCAGCCTGATCTCTCGTTTCAGCTGAGGATCATCTGTCTTGCTCGTCTGCGACGTCAGAGTGACGGGAGAAGTCATCACCACGGTCTGGGGCAGGGAGGAGGTGGTGGGGGTGGTGCGGATCTGGTACGTCTGCATGTCTCCAGAGGCAGCTGGGGGACACCAAGGGACAGGTAGGTTAGCAAGTGGCATTGGGGGTCACCAAGGGACAGGTTAGTAAGTGGCACTGGGGGACACCAAGGGGCAGGTCAGTACGTGGCACTGGGGTGAGACAGCTGGGGGACACCAAGGGACAGGTCAGTACGTGGCACTGGGGTGAGGACACCAAGGGACAGGTCAGCACGTGGCACTGGGGATCACCAAGGGACAGGTCAGCAGGTGGCACTGGGGTGAGGACACCAAGGGACAGGTCAGCACGTGGCACTGGGGATCACCAAGGGACAGGTCAGCAGGTGGCACTGGGGTGAGGACACCAAGGGACAGGTCAGCACGTGGCACTGGGGATCACCAAGGGACAGGTCAGCAGGTGGCACTGGGGTGAGGACACCAAGGGACAGGTCAGCACGTGGCACTGGGGATCACCAAGGGACAGGTCAGCAGGTGGCACTGGGGTGAGACAGCTGAGGGACACCAAGGAACAGGTTATCAGGTGGCACTGGGGGACGCCAAGGGGCAGGTCAGTACGTGGCACTGGGGTGAGACAGCTGGGGGACACCAAGGGACAGGTCAGCAGGTGGCACTGGGGATCACCAAGGGACAGGTCAGCAGGTGGCACTGGGGTGAGACAGCTGAGGGACACCAAGGAACAGGTTATCAGGTGGCACTGGGGGACGCCAAGGGGCAGGTCAGTACGTGGCACTGGGGTGAGACAGCTGGGGGACACCAAGGGACAGGTCAGCAGGTGGCACTGGGGATCACCAAGGGACAGGTCAGCAGGTGGCACTGGGGTGAGACAGCTGAGGGACACCAAGGAACAGGTTATCAGGTGGCACTGGGGGACGCCAAGGGGCAGGTCAGTACGTGGCACTGGGGTGAGACAGCTGGGGGACACCAAGGGACAGGTCAGTACGTGGCACTGGGGTGAGGACACCAAGGGACAGGTCAGCAGGTGGTATTGGGGGACACCAAGGGACAGGTCAGCAGGTGGCACTGGGAGTGACAGGGCCCAGGGATACTCACTCTGCACCACGACCTGGTTGCTGGGCACCAGGATCTGCTGCCCGTCCGAGGTCTGTGCGTACTGCAGGATGGTGGCCCCGGGCTGGGCACCGCTGGCGTTGGCCATGGTCAGGGTCTGCAGCCCCTGCACGGCGTCGCCCCCCGGCCCGGCCAGCTGCAGCCCGTTGGCCGCGATGGCGACTGCGAGGGAAGCACAGGACAACAGCAGTTGGGGCTGGACAGTGGGAAACACAGGTAAATCATGGAATGGGTTGGGTGGGGAGCACCTGAAAGATCATCTCACTCCACCCCTGCCATGGGCAGGGACACCTCCCACCAGCCCAGGTTGCTCCAAGCCCCATCCAGCCTGGCCTGGAACACTCCCAGGGCTGGAGCAGCCACAGCAGCTCTGGGCAACCTGTGCCAGTGAGGAGTGAGTGTGTGTGAGGGAGAAACAGCAGCACAAATGCCCTCAGAGGAGGGTGGAGAGGAGCTCCAGGTGCCAGAGCAGAACACCAGGCAGTAACAGCAAAGGGACAAATTCTGGTTTTTTGCTACCTCCCTGATACTACAGGAAGCTTCTGGTGTGGCCTGTGGGATATGCAGTGGTACCTCCACTGACCTGACATTTTGGACTGAACCCAACACAGAACACTCTGTGCTTCACACCAACACCCTGAGATGTCCTGTACTAATGAGCAAACATTAAGATGACAAAGCACAAAGCACTTTGTCATTTTAGAGTCTGCAGATACCACTGACACCTATGTACTAACTTTACTGACCTCTGGGCCATAACCAACTCGTGTGTTTCATCTTCATCATATATATATAACAAACTCTTTGAGTAAAAACTGTGCAGATATTTTGAGTAACATACTGTACTGTCCAGTGCTTGTCTGGTAGATGGGAGTGGGAACAGACATGGAGGTGACAGTGGAGACCCCAGGACTCTCCTCATCTCCTTTTCTGTCTCTTGTGTCTTCAGAGGAAAGGTCTTTCAAGATTTTTCTGCAAAACAAGAGTTGGACATTGCAGGCAAAAAAGTTACAGCTGACAAACACTTGTCCCTGCACAACACCGAGCTGAGGCTCATCTCCAGTTAGTGGAGCCAAAGTTTCCTTGCAGCACTGAGAGCTCAGAACGTTCAGTGCAGGTTTCAAGGGAAAGGAAACAACTTGGAGGCCAAGAGAGATGTGAAGCCACTGAAAGAAGCTGTTCTGGTTTCCGGGGGACCCACAAGGAGAGCCCCAGCCGTACCGGTAGGAGGGACGACGAGCCAAGATGCCTCGAGCCTTCTGCGAGGAGCCAATGCTGTCCGAGGAGTCCTGCGAGTCCTCACTCTCCGACAGGGAGGACACCTGGTGGCAAAGGGAGCAGGAACAGCAGTGATGCACTGACAAACACACAGAGCACCTGGAGGCATCTCTGCAGGCAGAGGAGCAGTGGAGTTTGGTGTGAGAATAGGAGCCCAAAGCAAATCCTCCTTAGGGCAGCAGCAGCGCAGCAGGGAGGGAAGAGGCAAAGTATTATCTACAGTTTGCTTTGTGTTCCTCCAGTTCCAAGTCTTATTTTGTCTCTGATGCTCCTCATTAGCCAACACAACATTCATCTGTCTGTATCTGGGTGCCAGCAAGAGTCCAGAGGAATGCACAGAGCCCTGGGAAAAGCCTTTCTCACTGAGCTACACACGGAGCAGCCGACGAGCAGCAGGGGAAAAAAAAAAAGCTGCTCCTGTTGTACTTTTTTCCCCTCAACAAGGCCACAACGTTCATAAATCACAGAAAAAAGGAACTAAGCCAGTCAGTGAGGACTCTGCAGCCAGGGGGGAGGAAAGGGATCAGTGGAGACACAGGCACTGACAACTGACTGGAGCAGATGCTCCTCTGCTCTCAGCACAGGGACACGTGTGCTCCCCTCCCTGCTCCACACTGCAGCACAGGGACAGCTGACAATCCCTCCCAGGTTTCCCTCTCCTGGTTTATCAGTGCAGTGTGGTATGAGGAGTGTGGGACAGGAGCAGGGACAAATTCCTGGACTTCAGCACAGCTCCTCCCTCACCCTCCCCAGCTGTCAGGGCAGTGGTTTCCCTCCCTGGGCCTGCAGAGCCTGAGGGCTCTGTGCAGCAGGGACAGAGTGGAGCACTCACAGACCCACTGGAACCTCCCAAGGCTCCTCTTGGAAGTGGCTCCCACAAAACCCACGTGGCAAGTGAGTAAGAGACACTACAGACACTTGGGGACCACCCAAACAGAGTTCCAGCTGTGTGGGGTGAGAAACCACAGCTCATCCAGCTCCTCTCAGGTCCACCTTCCCCATCCACTCCTTCTGCATTGTCCTATTATCCCACACTCCCCTCCCCACAGAAATGCAGATTTGGGGTATTCAGAGCCATTTTGGAGTTACCTGCACAGTCTGCACCTGAGGGGAGTGGATGACAGAAGAGGACTGGGCAGTCTGGATGACTCCCTGGACTTGGACTTGCTCTCCAGGAAGCTGCACAACTGTCAGGGGAGCAGAACCTCTGAGAGACATCTACAACAGACCAAAAACCATCAGTACACCCTTCGTGCCACAGGAAGTGCAACACGGGTAGGAAAACTGGTGGAGAACAGTTTTCCTAATCAGTCACAAAAGTCCCTTTAAAGATGCTCATTTTTGAGGCAATATTTGCATATGAAAAAGGCAGAAACAGTTTCTTATTTCATTTGGTTGGAGGAATCAAATAAGTGACATTATGTCACAGAGTAAGACTGAAATGCTGTGACTTCCTAGAGGCCTTGTAGGTGTGACATTGAACTCACACAAGTCTTTGCACTTTAGTTCAGTTTATACTGTTCACAAACCAGAAACAGTTCAGGTCATACATGTAGATCATCAATAATCAACCAGTTTTCTCACCAAATCCCTTCACTACTTTTCTTAGTCTGAAACACCTGAGGAGGTGAAGGATCATTACAGCTCAATTTCCACTTAATGCTACTTTGGTATCACAGACCACAACATTAATGGACACTCAGAACATGATATAAAAGCAGATCAGGAACCAGCCTGGAAAAACAACCCCCAGGACACCTACTGACATCCTCTCCCCTCTCACAACTGCATTTTGCACCAGAATCCCAATTTCCTCCGTGGGACAAACAGTGGATGAGCTGCACAATGATGCTGCTTGCCAGGAAAACCCTCCTGGAAGGATTCACTCTCCCAGGTACAGTCAGAGCTGAGTTGTGAGGAATCCAGGCTACAGCTCCGACAGGGATGTCACTTTGGAGGAAGAATCTCAGATTTCCAACTTCACATGATTTATCCTATTAAATAGGTTCATGTTGGGCTCAGCTCCAAGTGTTTCCATGGTGCTGAGCTCCCAGGATTGCTGCTACTACAAAAGGAGCTGGAAAAGCTTTTTCTGAGGAAAAAAGGAAACCAGGCCCTCAATTTATTCCTGAGCAGCTCCTGTGTCTCAGGTCACACTCAGTGCTGGGCTGCACTGGACAACTGTCTTGTACAGGCACAGAAATTTAGCTTTTCATGAATTTTATGTCCTCCACCAACAATCAATCCGATTTTTCTCAACCTCCTTCTGGTTTTCCTCCTCTGTGTCCTTCTAGGAATGAATACACAGTTTGCAGCAGCTAACAAAGGCTCTGACCTCCCTCAAATGTTTGCTGAGATTCGGCCCAGGCTTTACCTGTTGAGCAATATGAGAGAGCTGAGCTGCCTGTAGGGTTGTACCTTGTACGGCTGAGCTCTGGGACGGCGTCACGGAGCTGCTGCTGCTGCCCTTGTGCCCCTCTTCCATCTCAGCTGTGAGAGAACACAGGCAACGTGGTTAGCTGGGAGTCTGGGCAGCACACAGGTGCCCACTGGGCCCTTTTCACCTCAGGGCCTGATGCCTTTGGCCATAACTGGTGTCCTTAATCAGTTCTTGGCCCTCCGACGTCACCGTGGCTGAGGCACAGCACAGACTGGTGTCACCTGCCCTGGACACCTTCAGTTCTGTTGTGCCCCTCATGAGCCACGAGGTTGGACATGGTGGGACCTTCCCTGTGGGTTTGGGCAGGTGAAGCCCAACCTGGAGCAGGAACCAGGTCCTGGTTCACCCCAGGGTCTGATGCCTTTAGCTTTAATTGATGTCCTTAACCAGTTCTTTGCCCTCCGATGTCACTGTGGCTGTGGCACAGCACAGACTGGTGTCACCTCCCCTGGACACCTTGGGCAGGTGAAGCCTAACCTGGAGCAGGTACCGGGTCCTGGTTCACCTCAGAACACCTCAGGCAACATCTGTGAGCACCTCCTGGGACCCACTCAGGGCTCTCAATGGGATTTGCTGAATTTCCTGCTATTTTGCCCATAAAAATAAACAAAGTCAAGTCATGAGATCACAGAATGACCTGAGCTGGAAGGGACACTATAGATCATCTCATCCCACCCCCTGCCATGGGCAGGGACACCTTCCACTAGTTCAGGCTGCTCCAAGCCCATCCAACCTGGCCTGGAACACTCCCAGGGATGGAGCAGCCTGTGCCAGAGCCTCACCACCCTCCCAGGCAGGAATTCCTTCCCAATATCCCATCTATCCCTGCCCTCTGTCATTTTGACGGAATACCCAGGAAGAACACCGAGATTCTTTATATTATTTTGCTCGAAGTAAAATAACTGCCCCAAAATATTTCAGCCATTTTTAAACCATCTGAAGGTGGACAAAACCAAACCAGAGATTGGATCCAAGCGGAGAGAACGGAGTTTCGGATTCCAAGCCCTGCCAGAGTCCCTGTGTCTCTCTGTAATGCAGTCAGCAACACTTGCCTCATGTCTAAGGGTTTATATTTAACTGTTGGGCTCCTTGGCAGCATCTCCCCTCGGATCCGGGGGGCTCGGGGCTGCACGAGGCAGGCTGCAGCTGGGGGAGTGGGTGGACCAGCCTGGAGCATTAGAAGCTGATGGGTGAGTGTTAAACATTTTGTCACAGAAGGTTTGAAAGCGTTGAAAGGACAGTTGCTATGAGACTGGAAATTACATTTCTTTCTGTGGAAATGTGAGTCACTGATTTTTACCGCAGAGCTCGCGGCCCTGACGCCACACCGGGCAGAGTCCTGGGCCCTCACCCCCTCCAGGGTCCCACAGCAGCACCCCCAGAGCCACCAAAACGGGGCCTGGGGGAGAAAACTGGTGGCTGGGGGAGACAGGAGACTGGGATTGATGGAGCAGCTCTGCCACGAGGAGAAGCTGAGACTTGGGGTTGTTCAGCCTGGAGAAGAGAAGGTTTGGGGTGACCTAATTGACCATTTCAGTACCTGAAGGAGCTGCAAGAAACATGGGGAGAGACTATTGACAAGGGCTGGAGGGACAGGACACAGGGAATGGCATCCCACTCCAGAGGGATGGGATGTTGGGCAGGAATTCCTCCCTGGGAGGGTGCTGAGGCACTGGAATGATTTCCCAGGGGATGCCCCATCCCTGGAAGTGTTCCAGGCCAGGATGGATGCAGCTGAGAGCTCCCCGGGCTGGGGGAAGGTGTCTCTGCCCATGGCAGGGGGTGGAATAGATGAGCTTTAAGTTCCTCCCAACCCAAACCATTCTCCGATTCCGTGTCCTTTACACATCACATGCTGCAGCTTCCCAAAGTCCTTGTGGCTACAAACACAAACCACATCAAATCCAAGAGCAGAATGAACAACAAGCACATGCACAGGACACAACTTTCTCTGTCCTTTCCTGCAGTTTTAGCTTTTATGAAGGAAAAACCACCTTTGGCTCCCTGCAGAGCCTTAGGCCTCCAGGGCCCCTCAAACCAAGGAGCAGCAAAACTGACAAGAAATTTCCAGTGCTACAGAAACTCCTTGTTCATCTCTGTAGTGCTAAACCACAGCTCTCTCTGCTCTCTGCTGCTGCTTTCTCTGCCTTGTTGTCCCATCACTGACTCAAAACAACCTGCCAGACATGGAGAAACTGATAAAGTCACCCCAAATAAACACCCCGGGAGGTTTCGCTGCTGTTCCTCTCGTGGGAGTCCAGTCCTGCTTACAGGAATGAAAGTATTTCCCATTAGCAACCTGATTTTACTTCATCTCTGCTTGCCCTAAAAAGACTCAGCAAGGGTTGAAACAGGTGGAAATTCCTCCTGCACCTTCCACCCTCTGCGGATGGAACTGTCCCACAGGACTCACTCCCTTTACCTTGTTAAAACAACCTACTTAGCTGGAAAACCAGGAATTTCCCACTGGAATGGCTTTCTGTGAGCACCTGAGACAGCAACTGGCTCAAAGAGAGCAAATTCCAGGGGAAAACCTCACCCTGAAGGTCTCAAGCCTGGAGAGAGAGCACCAATCCTGCTGGAAAATGCCCTAAAAACTGCAGGAGCCTCAGGGGAACAAACTGAGTTCTGTTTTGCCCTTTTGAATTGAGCAAAAGCCTAAATGATGTTCCACCTCTGAAATATTAGTTGATTATATTTTTGAAGGGTTTATAAAATCAAAGAGCATTGGACATGGAATTTATCCTCAAACAGTGACAGGAGTGAAAACCTGAGAGCTACAAAGGGATTTAAATCACTTTCTGAGATGATACTGAAGTGATCTGGAGGGAATTTTGGGTTCTTTAGTGCCTCAAAATCAGTAGGTAAAATATTATTTGCCTAATTTTGCAATCAAGACACTTGGGGCAAATTTGTTCATCCAGAACTCCAGGTTTTTTCCCAGAAGTCAAGGAAAGACAGAGCCAAGGACAGCACTTCCCACCAGCTGTGCCTGAGCCAGTGAGGAGCCTGGAGCCAAGAGCTGCTCCCAGCTCTGATCCCATTCCACACAGATACTCCCTACAGCTCCAGGGACACTTTCCACGTGGGTTTTCCTCCCTGGCCCAGCCTGGACAGGAGCTTCAGAGACCAAACCTGCAGCCTCAAACTCTCCTTGTTCTGGGCCCATCAGAGCTCTGAGAGGAAAACAGCACTGGGATCAGTCACAATTCCCAGCCCGGATCAGCCCCAGCCTCACTGCGAGCTCGTGGGGCAAAATCCATGGAAAACAGGCAATGAATCAGAGGTTGATTAACTAATTAATCAGCCATAGAGCCAATTGTCACCGCTCAGGTCCTACACTGAGCCAGCACTGCCCCGGGGCAGGCTGGAGACACCCCGAGGGCTCCAGGGGATCCTCCTCATCCCCAGGGACACCAGCAGAGACACACTGGGACTCCCCGGGGCAGGAGGAGATGGGAGAGAGACACAAGGGGGAGAGAGGGATCAGGGGGGAAAAGAGACCCGGGGGGAAAGAGAGGGATTGGGATCATTCTACAATCAGGGGGATTGGGATCATTCTACAATCAGGGGGAGAGAGACCCAGGGGGGAGAGAGACCCAGGAAGGGAGAGAGGGATCAGGAGGGATTGGGATCATTCTACAATCAGGGGGAGAGGGACTTGGGGGAAAAGAGGGATCAGGGTGAGAGGGAACACTATAATCAGGGGGAGGGAGACCCAAGGGGGGGAGAGGGATCAGGGGAGAGAGACCCAGGAAGGGAGAGAGAGGGATCAGGAGGGATTGGGATCACCCTACAATCAGGAGGGAGAGACCCAAGGTGGGGAGAGGGATCAGGGGAGAGTGACCCAGGGAGAGAGAGAGGGATCAGGAGGGACTGGGATCACTCTACAGTCAGGGGGGAGAGACCCAAGGGGGGGAGAGGGATCAGGGGAGAGTGACCCGGGGAGAGAGAGAGGGATCAGGAGGGACTGGGATCACTCTACAGTCAGGGCGAGAGGGACTTGGGGTAAAAGAGGGATCAGGGTGAGAGGGAACACTATAAACAAGGGGAGAGAGACCCAAGGGGGAGAGAGGGATCAGGGGAGAGAGACCGAGGGGGAGAGAGAGAGAGAGAGAGAGAGGGATCAGAGGGGAGAGACCGAGGGAGAGAGAGAGGGAACAGGGTGGAAAGAGACTCAGGGCGGGAAGATGGATCAGGAGGATTGGGATCATTCTTGAGTCAGGGAGAGAAAAGAGACCCAGGGGGGGAAGAAGGATCAGAGCAGGGGAAAGACCTCGTGGGGGGAGAGAGATCCATGGGATAGAGAGATGGATCAGAAGGGACTGGGATCACTCTACAATCAGGGTGAGAGGGACCCAGGGGGAGGGAGGGATCAGGGTGAGAGGGAACAGTCCATAATCAGGGAGAAAGAGACCCCGGGGGGGGAGAGAGGGATCAGGAGGGAGAGACTCAGAGGGGGAGAGAGACCCAAGGGGGGAGAGAGGGATCAGGGGGAAGAGATCCAGGGAA